TCCATCTGATACTTCTAATGCATTATCGCTTGGTTTTCAGTTGATTGGAATCGAAAAATATACTATTTGGCGTCAACCAATAGAAGTCTTTCTACTCATACACAATAAGCTAGGTTTTGTCGATGGATCCATCATTAGAAACACCTATGGTGAGAAACATGTGAATCTCTAGGATCGGTGTAATGCAATTGTGAAGTTGTAGATTACGCACAATATGAGTAGAGATTTGCTGAGTGGAGTGTTGTTTTGATCCAACGCATATGCAATTTGGTCAGATTCGCGTGAGAGATTTGAGAAAGTAAATGCATCGCAAATGTATTGCTTGCACGGAGAAATCTTCACTCTTACACAAGGTAAATCCTCTGTATCAATGTATCATTCGAAGCTAAAGGATCTTTGGGATGAATATGACTCAATTATTCCACCTCCGACTTATTATGACAAATCAAAGAATTACATTGAACACCAGCAGTACCAGCATTTATGGTATTTTTTATGGGATTGAACGAAGGATACAGTCAGGCACGTAGCCAAATTCTGATGAAATAAAAAATACCAATCGTTAATCAAGCTTATGCAATGATTCTTCAAGATAAGAGCTAGAAGATTGTAGTCGGAGGACATTGTGCTGTTTCTGACAATCTAGATCCCACAGCCTTGTTTACATCAAAGAACACGGTATAAACAGAAGAAAAACTATAATTTGGAGTATGATTACTGCCATTTACATTGTCACACAAGGAAGAATTGTTACAAGCTTATGAGATGTGATTTCTGCAATATGAAAAGATATTTTAAAGAGAATTTCTATAAGATCACTGGTTATCCTACAGATTTCAAGGCTAAGAAGAAGGGGCTACCTATGAGTGGAAACATGGCTCAGTCAAAAGGAACAACTATTACTTGTACCTCTCTTCCTGTATTCACTCAAGATCAATACAATCAAATCCTGAATATGCCGAGTAAAACTACAATAGGTGATACCAGTGGTCGAAGTGCACATATGGAAGGTATATTACTCTGTGAGCATAAACTTAAGATATCCCATGTTGGAAGTTGTCAGAGTGATGTAATCATAGATGTTCTATGTGTTCCAGATTATAAATTCAATTTACTGTCAGTATCTTAACTCACTAGGGATTTGAAATGCTTTGCATCTTTCTATCATGGATTCTTCCTCTTCCAGAATCTCTTCAGTGGGAAGGTGAAAGCGATTGGTAGAGAAGAGGAAGGTCTCTATGTGTTGAAGTCTCAAAGTAACAATGCAATAACTAATCTAGCAGATCAATGGCAGTCCAAACAACATCAAATCCAAAGATTTGGCGTAGGAGATTGGGTGATATTCCAATGGCAATCTTAAGAAAGATCCCTATTTTTCAAAATAAGTGTAGTTTTTCTTTGAACCATTGTAGTGTCTGTCCCTTAGCTATACAGACTAGAACTACCTTCCAGCATATTACTAGTAGAGCTACTGCTTCTTTCGAATTGCTTCACTTAGATGTCTGGGCGGCCTACAAAATTGACACACATGATGGTATAAAATATTTCCTTACTGTGGTAGATGACAATTCAAGGTGGACTTGGACTTTTTGATGCGTGTTAAATCTAATGTTTATGGTGTACGTAAGGGATTTATTGCCATGATTCTCAATCAATTTGAATGCAGGATTAAAGTTGTTAGGAATGATAACGGCTCAAAGTTCTTTAACTCAGTTTGTGATGAATTATTTAGTATGCATTGTATAATACAACAAAGCTCTTGTCCATATACAACCCGACAAAATAGGCTGGTGGAAAAGAGATAGACATATTCTTGAAACTGCAAGAGCAATAAAGTTTCAAGGACATTTACCTACAAAGTTTTGGGGCTGTTGTGTAGAAGTTGTAGTGTATATCATAAATAGAGTGCCATCCACTATTTTGGGGAATAAGTCACCTTTTGAATTGCTATATCAGAAAGTGCCTACATTGTCACACATGAGGATAATAGGATGTCTGTACTATGCCTCTAAACTTCTTAGGCAAGACAGGTTAAGTCATAGATCCATAAGGGCAGTGTTGTTAGGCTATGGTTGATTCCAATAGGTATACAAATTATATGATATTGACAACACAGTAGTGTTCATCAGTAGGGATGTTCAATTTCATGAAACCATATTTCCTTTTCATGATAGTTTTGCAGTAAAATATTCTTGGTTTGTTGGGAGTGGATCAGCTTCCTTGCCTATGGATGATGAGATATTTTCAGGTATTTTGCCACATTCAGAAGCTACTCCAACTATACCTCATTTGATCCATGCTTCAATGTCACCACCAACTTCAGCTATTCCTACAAATTCACCTAGTGATAAGGCTGTGACTTTGCCACAGTAACAATGTGTACCCTTGGAAGTTGAATCCTTAGCAGGTGAATCCTCAGCAATTGAAAAGTCTGCTGGAACTTCCAAGCCACCAATTTGGCTAAAGGATTTTGTTGTTCCTAGATAGTAAACATACTACGACAACTTGCTTATATCCCCTATTAGATGTGGGGGATTATTCTTCCCTTTCCTCCAATTATAAGAGCTTCATTACTAGGTTTTCTGGTAAAGTAGAACCTACCAGTTATGCTCAAGCAATCAAGGATCCAAGATAGATTGAAGCTATATAAATTGAGGTTAAAGTTTTAGAGGACAATCAAACCTGGAATGTAGTTCCTTTACCTTCTGGCAAGAGAGCCATTGGATGTAAGTGGATCTATAAGATCAAATATAAAGCTTCAGGAGAAGTGAAAAGATTCAAATCACGGTTAGTTGCAAAAGGCTACAGTCAACAAGAGGGTCTAGATTACCAAGAAACATTCTCTCTAGTTGTTAAGATGGTTATTGTCAGGGCATCCATTTCTGTAGCAGCAGTTAATCATTGGGACATTTATCAAATGGATGTCTACAATGCCTTTCTACAAGGTGATTTAGATGGAGAAGTTTACATGCACTTTCCTCAAGGTTTCAATCATCCACATGGTAAAACTCAAGTATGCAGGTTACTCAAGTCCTTGTATGGACTTAAGCAAGCTTCAAGGCAGTGGAACATCAAGCTCACTAATACTCTCTTTTCCTATGACTTCACTCAAAGCCAGTTGGATTATTCCTTATTCACCAAAAGATCTAGTGGCAACATTGTGGTGGTGTTGGTCTATGTAGATGACCTGTTAATCACTGGTGATGACTCTCTTATGATTCAAGAAACAAGGGACAACTTGCAGAAGAGGTTCAATATCAAGGATCTAGGTGCCTTAAAGTATTTTCTTGGAATTGAGTTTGCAAGAGGCATAGATGGTATATTAATGCATCAAAAAAATATACTCTTGAGCTCATCTCAGACTTGAGATTATCTAGAGCAAAGCCTGTTGGTGCTCCTTTTGAGCTCAATCAGAGGCTCACCACTGCTGAGTTTGACACTTATTTTGGTGTTCATGATGATCCTCCCCTAGATGATCCTGGTCCTTATCAGAGACTACTTGGGAGATTGTTGTACCTGACAATTACCAGGCATGACATCGCATTTATTGTGCAATGCCTTAGCTAGTTCATGCATTCACCTAAGCAATCTCATTTGGAAGCTACACTACGCCTAGTGAAATATGTTAAGCAGGCATCAGAGCAGGGGACCTTATGTCCTTAACTTCTAACTTTCATCTAAGTGCTTTCTATGATGTTGATTGGGCAGCTTGTCCTAACACCAAGCGATCTGTTACTGGCTAGTTGCTGAAATTTGGTGATTCGTTGGTATCCTGGAAATCCAAAAGGCAGTCCACTATTTCCAGAAGTTCTGCTGAGCCAGAGTATAGGATTTTGGTATCTACTGTCGCAGAGATTGTTTGGTTGGTTGGGCTGTTTAGGGAACTTCCTGCGGACATTAAGGTGCCAGTTTTCTTATTTTGTGACAGCAAATCTGCGATCTAGATTTCTGCAAATAACGTGTTTCATGAGCGCACAAAACACATCGATATCGATTGCCATTTTAATCCATGAGAATGATCAACAAGGCCTGTTTCACATATTTTGCATATGCTGAAGTTACCTAATCATAGTTAGCCATTAGTCAACTGTAGTTAGTTCTGTAGTTAGTTAGTCTTAAGCCAACTGTAATTTAACTACTTCAGTTAGTAGCCACGTGTAAGAACTCATTTCTCAATTGAGAGAGATAGAATAAAAATGTGAATTGCTTTCTCTCTGTTTTCCTCTCTGTCAAGTTTTCTTCTTCGAGATTCATAGAGTTAATTCAATGCTGCTGCAATTCAACAAATTCCTCTCCAAATTGAGGAGATTTAATAGTTTCAGCCTTCACAACTTTTTAAACAAAACATTCTATTTCATTTTGTGATAGTTATCTGCAAAATAAATTACCCGTTATATAATTAGATTACACCTAATTAATGTATTTTTTATATGTAATTAGATTACAACTAAATCTAGTGTCCTATAGGAATATCATTATATAGTAGTAGATCTAATTAATCTATATAAGAGAGCCTAGTGTTTCATTCATTTCACTATCAGAAATCCCTTCAGTAGATATACAAGAAAGATGGAACAATCTTTGCCTTTGTTTAAAGTTCTATTTCTCCTTGTGTTGTTTTCTATGGGAAGTGCAGGTAGGTACCATCTCTTTCCTGTTAGATTTTCCATTCCCATAAAAAATGAAAGGAGGAAAAAAATCATTTTTGGGAAGTATCACAAGTTTTAATCTAGTGGTCTTAATTCTAGTTACTACTTTTGCTTTAGGTATTTAATTTTGGAAATTTTACAACCTATAGAATACTTTAGTACCCTATTTATATTAAATAAATACCATTTTAAAATATTACATCCTATAAATACCTTTTATAGTTTATAGCAAAAAATCTAAATATAGCACCATCCTACAATTAAGGCATCATATATGCTACAAAATATTTTTTCTCTCCCCTTATTGTATTTTTCTCTCACCTAATTACCGTATATCTCCGCTGACCAGCTTCTCTCTCTCTTCTTCCATACGCTTTACCATCTTCTCCACAAACACACGTTTCTCCGTCATTATCAAAACAAAGTTCAAAATCACCCTAAATCTCTATTTCTCCGCCATTATCAAAACAAAGTTCAAAATCAACAGGGATTCACTCTTTTATTTCTGATTTTTACACTCCTGGTAATGTATCTTCTTCAAAATTGCTTTGTCATTATTTTGTTTCTCTAATTTCTATACCGATTTTACACAAATATCTGAAACACTAACCATTTGTATTGTTAATCATCAGGAATCTTTGAGTTTTCTCTCCAATGGCGGATTCAACGCCACTCAACAGAGTACCCAAAGGTATACCCACCAAAATTCTCAATTTTGATGGGCCCTCTTTCTCGTTGCAAATAACTCAAGCGGAGTCAGATTTTGCAGGTTTATCATCATCCGCAGTTGATGAGAGAAGAACTAAATTACACAATGGCAAGTTGAAAGAAGTCGAAGTTGATAAATCTTCAAAAGAAACCAAAAATCCAGTTGGCTCAAAGAGGAAAAAACCTATGAAAGATTCACAAATCCAAAAGGTAATTGCTATTTGTATCAATATGCATTCAAATAAACTTATTTGTATTCATAAGTATTCAATCATATGATGCTGTATTCATATGTAAGTAGTTGTATTTTTGTACTTTATGTATAATGTATTAAATCTTATACATATATGATGTTGTATTCATATGTATCTGACTGTATTTTTGTACATTTTGGTATACTGTATTCAATTCTTTTTACATGTATGATGTTGTATTCATATGTATCTTATTGTATTTTTTTACTTTTTGGTATACTGTATTCTGTTTCTTCTATAGTATCTATATGTATTCATGTGTATTCTATTTTATGTGCCATCTTAACTCGTCAAATACTATGAACACATGTAGAGATATTTAGTCCAGTGGAGCTATTGAACATGCCGTTGTTGAGACATGACTTTGTCCATCAGAAAGGCCTAGTCTTGCCAAACTAGAATGTGATTTGATAGAGTAATTAGTTTGGCACCCTATATGTGTATAGCATCGTGTCCTGGTCAATATTTTTGATAATCAGCTGGTTGCTTTCAGAATTTTAAAGCTATATGGACCATGAAGGTTTCTTTTGGATATTCTACCTAGATTAAACTCATAAATTTTTCGTCTGCTAAGCAATTAATAACGATAGTTGTGTTAGCTCCTGAAACATATTGTAGACATCTGCATTTACTGGGAAAGAAACCTCACTTTGTGAGTGGAAGATTGTTGCTAACTTTGTACTCTTAACTTCTTGCCTTATACAAAGTACTCTTTACTTATTGTGTAATAGCTTTCCAAGAGAATTACCTGTGCAATTGAGAAGGATTGGTTTTAAGGAATCTTTAGTTAGCTGCTCTATGATAGAAAAATTGCAGAACAACTCGCTAATTAGGAATTTCTTGATCACTTGCTTTGTATTTTTATTAAAATCAAGCATGTCAAGCTTTGGTATACTGTATTCAATCCTTTTCACATGTATGATGTTGTATTCATATGTATCGGATTGTATTTTTGTACTTTTTGGTATACTGTATTCTATTTTTTATATGGTATCTATATGTATTCATGTGTATTTTGGTAGTTTCTAACTGTTCAATTTTAATTTAAGTTTTACTTGTATTCATATGTATTCATATTTAGTCTTGTCACTATATTTAGTATTCTGTAAGTGTTTGCAATTTATTAAACTGTATTAACATGTATTTTTTATTGTTAATTGTAGGGAATTAATTTTTTTGTGAAACACCAGCCAAAATTAGCTCCCCATATTAGTGCTTACACTAACACTGATATAGTCTCCCAGCTAACAGATAAGCTTACCCCCATTCAGTACCAACAATTCGACAATACATGCTTTGGATCATTTCTTCAAATGAAGCGTTGTGATGTTCAACATCAACTCTTCAGATGCTTCATGGCTCCAGTTAGACGGCACTCCTAACAATGTATTTACAGTACACGTCAATAGTACTGAATTACATTTCACATTAAGGGAGTTTGCGGCTTGTGACCTCAAATGTGTAGGTAAAGATGAAGATTTTGAGTTTAGTGCAACTACTCCTAACCGCCTTATTGAGACTTACTTTGGGGGTGCTAATATTGTAAAGAGGAAACATTTGATACAATGCTTCGATGGCAAGAAATGGGGTCCCTACAATGATGGTGATGCCTTGAAGATATCTTTGTTGTATTTCATACACACCTTTATTTTTTTCATCTGAGAAGAATAGTGCAACTATACCAAGGCTACATTTTGACTTAGTAGAGAGTGGGTGCTATTCTGAATATCATTGGGGTATAGACGCATTTGATCTGTTGATAGATATTTATCTTACAGGAGCCAAGTATGTATTAATGCGAACTAACTTTGCTTGCACATGTTGTATGCAATAAACATGTTACTGTCAAAGAAAGTTGTTTAT